TTTTCACCTTGTTTTTTGTTGTGTTGTGTAGTGAAGAGCTGGAACCGAGGGGGTGAGAAACGGGGACGGCGTTGCGGCAAATAGCAATACGACAACCGCATGCGGCGAAGCGTTATTCGGCAGCGCAAGGAGTTCTTGGAGCGAAAGCAGAACGAGCACGTTCACGAGGCGATCCATGCAAGGAAGGAACAGTTCCGCGAGGCAGTAAGCAACTCCACGCCGCTCCCGGGGCACCTCCGCAAGGACGCTTTGGCCCTTAAAAAGTTCTCGGAGCTGGACGACAACCAGACAAGGACACTGCAGACCACTGTAGATGACGAGTACTCCCACTCGGGTGTTGAAGACCCGCGCGTCCTCATCACGACGTCACGCGAGCCTTCGCAAAAGCTTCTGGAGTTTGCGAAGGAAATTCGACTTGTCGTTCCTAACGCTGTCCGTATGAACCGCGGTAACCTCAGCGTACGCCAGCTCATGGAGGCGGCGCGGCGGGGGCAGTACTCTGACGTTGTTGTGCTGCAGGAGTCGCAGGGTGTCCCTGATAGTCTCACCGTGTCGCACCTGCCGTTGGGACCTACCGTCGTCTTTACGATACACAATCTTGTGACGCGGCACGACATCTTCCAGGACGTTGGCACAATGTCGGAGCAGTACCCGCATTTGATTTTTGAGAACTTTACGACGAGGCTGGGCCACCGGGTGCGGGACGTGCTGAGGTTCCTTTTCCCCGTTCCGAAGCCTGATGCCACGCGTGTCTTGACGTTCGACAACCAGAGTGACTTTGTGAGCTTCCGCCACCACACGTTTAGGGTGGTGAAGGGGAGGGAGGTGCAGCTGACGGAGGTTGGCCCCCGCATGGAGCTGACGCCGTACCGCATCACACTGGGGACACTTGAGATGGACGACGCGGAGACGGAGTGGGTGCTGCGGCCGTATATGAACACGGCGAAGAAGCGCCGCCTTCTGTGAGGAGGGCTGGGTCTGGAAGCACACATGCATGCGCCTGTTGCCTGGGAGAGGGGTCGCTGCAGCGAGTCTCCTTACACAGTGATGCGTCGCTCGTTTAAGCAACCGCACAGGTGGCGCTGCGGCGCGCACCAATGTGAGTTGAGGAGGTGTGAGTTAAGTTCTTGTAAGAGCGAAGGGGGACCAATGCCTTTGCAGCAGGGGACTGCTGTTGAACGCTCCTCCGCCGCCCCTTCCTACCCTCACCTATTCAAATTTTCTTTACGTTTTGCCTGCTCTTTTACTCTTTTACTTTTTCTCGTTCTTCTTTTCTTTCTCTTTGCGTACACGGATGTAGGGATCTTTTTAACTCTCGCCACAAGGTAATAAAAGAAGTAATGCTGTGCTCCTCGCGTCTTTTCTTCAGCGCCGCGGTACCACGAGTGCTTGTTGCCGGCGGTTTGGGCCAGATCGGCACCGACCTCACCCTTGCCCTGCGCGAGAAGTTTGGCGCGGACTCCATCCTTACGTGTGACGTGGTTCAGCCGCCCCCAAATCATCCGATTGCAGGTACGAAGGGATTCGAGAAACTCGACTGCATGAACCGCGATGCCTACGAAAAGTTGGTGAAGGAGTTTAAGCCGACATGGCTGTTCCATCTCCCAGCGATCATGTCCGTCCGCGGCGAGGCGGAGCCGCAGCTGGCACTGAACCTCAACATCAACACGACGCGCTACGCCCTCGACCTCGCGCGCGACTACAAGATGCGCTGCTTCATTCCCAGCACCATTGCCGCCTTCGGTGACAAGTGCGGCAAGGTGGACACGAAGGACGACACGATCATGAACCCCTCAACGGTGTACGGTGTCACCAAGGTCTTCACGGAGATGATTGGCACATACTACCGCGAAAAGATGGGTGTGGACTTCCGCTGCGTGCGCTTTCCCGGCATCATCTCTGCCGCGACACTTCCCGGCGGTGGCGCCACGGACTACGCTATTCACATGTACCACTGCGCGTTGGCACGCAAGAAGTACGTCTGCCCCGTCCTCCCCGATGAGCCACTGCCAATGTTGTACATGCCGGACACCCTTGATGGTGTCCTGAAGCTGATGGATGCGCCCCAAAGCAGCTTGCGGCGCACGGTGTACAACATCAGCGGTTTCAGCTTTACCCCGGCACAGCTGAAGGCTAGCATCGAGGCACACACGAAGCGCCCGCTGGAGGTGGAGTATGTCGAGGGCTCTGCGCAGGGCATTGCCCACTCATGGCCTGACTCCCTGGACGACTCTAACGCCCGCCGGGACTGGGGCTACCAGGTGAAGTACGACCTGGATAAAATGACGGAGGACATGCTCCGCCAGATCCCGCGTCTCCACGGACTCCCGTCGCTGTAGTGGGGATAGACCCCGTTTCGCCCCTTTCACGCATGTGTGTCCGCACTCTTTTGCAACACAAAATAATTGAAAACGAAAACGCTATCACACCCCTCTACAAATAGTAAAACGAAATTACATTGGGTATATTGTGGTTTTTCTTTTTGCCTTTTTTTGCCCCGCCTTGGTGGCCCGAACTTCTTTTCTTCTGCGTCGTAGTCGTTTGCTACGTGGCATGTTGTGGAAGTGCATGCGGAACAGCATCTCACGAGCACTGACACAGGGTTAACTCTTTGTTTTGGTTAGGATGACGGTAGAACTCATGGTGTATGAAAGCATACGTAAGGTTGTTGTTGCTTTTGGTGCACCTGTTTATCTAATTAATTCATCAACCCCTGGCTTGCGGGCCATTTGTTATTGTTTGTTGTTTTGCGGAGGCCGCGCGGTGGAGAAGTGGGGCCTGTTGCGAGGACTCACTGCCCGTTGCTTTGGGTGTTTGTGTGCCGTGCTCGTAATTGCTGTCTTTTTGTTTTTGTTTTTGGTTTGTTGTTGTTGTTGTTGCTAGTTTCTGGTGGTGTCTCGCATAGGAAGGGTGGCTCTGCTGGCCGTGCCCCAGGCATGTAGAGTGGTGGCGCTACAACCACCAGCGGTCGTTCGCGCGGCAATCCCCTCTTTTTTCTGTTTGCCTGTGCAGGTGTGTGGGTCGTAGATGGGGAGCGGGCGGGAATGTTTCGGAGGTCTCCGGCAGCAGCAGAGGTGGTGGTCGGGTGGGGGCTGTGTGTGTGGCAGTGGCCGTGTGGCTTGCACTTGGTACTCTTTTGGTTGTGTGTTGTGGTGGGATTGGATGCGGATGGTCTTCTTCTGTGAGAAGGCTCTTTTGTGGGCCTCCAGTGTAGGCGATTTGTATCGTTGTGTGCGTGTGTCGAGGGGGTGTGCTGGTGGGGCTGGGTGTGTGTGTGTGTGTGTGTGTGTTTTGGTTATGTTTGTGGTTTGGTAGGGCTTCTGGAGACGGGGGCACCGGCCCCTTATTTCTGGCTGGACTGCCCTTACCTGTTTGTCTTGTTGTGGTGCGCTGGGCCAGTAGTGCCTGCCCTGTGCCTGGGTGAGCGGCCTGTTGCTGGTGCGCACCGCGCTCATCGAGGAAGCGAAGCGTCCGTGCGGTGCGCGTGCGAATGAGATTGGTGACAGCTCTTCACCTGTCATGCTGGTGCATGAGGTTGCGCGACGCATCCTGCGGTGTGAGGCGGCAAGGAAGGCGGCGTTGCAGCCAGGCTTTTCATTGGGTCCGACCTCGGCTGCATCGAGCCCGTCCAGGTGCATCTATTGCAATGAACCTCTCAGTAGGTACACTGCAAGGGAACCGTCCAGCCGCACTCAGTCGAATGCTGCTAAAAAGGCATATGGGGGCTAGGAGCATATGGACGCATGCCCCACCACTGCTGGTTACTGTGGCGGAGGCAGATGCGTCCACACCCAGCGGGATGCCGACTCCAGCGGCCCGATTCTCGTGCAACGCCGTTCTTTTTTCCTGTAGGTTGCCGAGGCAGCTCTACGCTATGGGAGAATCAGGTGGTGACGTTGGCCATGGGTCGAGTGATGACGCTGTTGAGGTGCGCTTAAGCGCTTGATAGTGGAGGGGGAGGGGGCGAGGTGGCGGGGCGAGCCTCAGTGAGTCACTTTGGGTGGGGAGAAGTTTCCAGAGAAGACTGGTGGCGGCGCGGCGGGGGCAGTACTCTGACGTTGCTGTGCTGCAGGAGTCGCAGGGTGTCCCTGATAGTCTCACCGTGTCGCACCTGCCGTTGGGACCTACCGTCGTCTTTACGATACACAATCTTGTGACGCGGCACGACATCTTCCAGGACGTTGGCACAATGTCGGAGCAGTACCCGCATTTGATTTTTGAGAACTTTACGACGAGGCTGGGCCACCGGGTGCGGGACGTGCTGAGGTTCCTTTTCCCCGTTCCGAAGCCTGATGCCACGCGTGTCTTGACGTTCGACAACCAGAGTGACTTTGTGAGCTTCCGCCACCACACGTTTAGGGTGGTGAAGGGGAGGGAGGTGCAGCTGACGGAGGTTGGCCCCCGCATGGAGCTGACGCCGTACCGCATCACACTGGGGACACTTGAGATGGACGACGCGGAGACGGAGTGGGTGCTGCGGCCGTATATGAACACGGCGAAGAAGCGCCGCCTTCTGTGAGGAGGGCCGGGTCTGGAAGCACACATG